AAAATTCAGGAGCGTTTTGACTGGGTTCATAAGTGGGAGTGTACGGGCATGGACTTTAGAACTAACTGCGTCTTTCTCGATGAGCTTGCATTTCATATTAATTTAAAGCGTAGTATGGCCTGGTCAAAAAAAGGATTGCCTGCTGTGGTCACAGTGCCCAAAACCCGAGCACAAACAACAACGATTTTAGGTGCGATCTCTGCTTCAGGATTAATAAAGTGTAGCCTGAGATTACCGCAGCCGCCAGCCAAGCAGCACCGTATCCATGGAGGGCTTTATCCGCTTCCTTCAAGCTAGATCTGAACAGTTTGCTGTTCTCAGTCAATTCTATGGACATACCATCACAAATCATGATAATGGATACCCCCTCTTTCGCAAGATCCGTCTTTCAGCGTACTTCAACAAACAACGTGCCGATCAAAGGCTTATTCAAGACTTACACGCCAAGTTTGGAGAAGATGCTGTGTTTGTGATGGGAAACTGGTCCGCTCCCCATGCTAGGTATCATGAGCCCATCCGTGGCCTTGGCTTCCGAAGACTCCTCAAGAAGCATGGGTTCCAAGTCTTTCTTATAGGCGAGTACAAAGCCAGTAGGCGCTGTCCAACATGCCACAACGAAAGCCTCCGCACGTTCCGTCGTGTTCCAAATCCACGACCGTATCAACGTGAGCGATATCCTACTGCTATCTGCCATGGTCTTTTAAGGTAATAATACATGAACCACTTGGATAACTTTATACTGATTAAACATTGCTTGTAGATGCACCATACTGTAGACCCGCCATGGCAGCACCAGATAGATATCGCTTATGGAACAGGGATGTTGCTGCTTGTCTCAACTACATGCACATCCTTCGTGAGCTTCGACGTAATGACATCGTTCCTCATAGGTTTCACCGGGTTGCTGTTGCTCCTACAAGACGTCGAAGAAGAGTGGACGATCAGGAGCAACCTAGAACTAGAATACGCTTAGACGATGATTCTCCGTCCTAGTTATCGCTAGGACACATCTAGATGTCTTCGGGGTAAGTTGTATGCAATAATCTTCTTACATAACTAACTATATAATTCTTTATATTCTCTCTTTGGTACTTATTACTCTCACTTGCATGTCGTCTCCTTCGCACGTATTTTATTTTTAACCTTTGCGTAAATACTTTTTTTAATATGCGCCAATTATTTTTTTTCATACACGTCATAATTTTATCCTCTTTCTGAAATTTATTTTTAATAAAACAGTATGGTTATGTATTTGCCTCCATATTAACTAGAATTGAATCCAATTGAACGGTTCTGGGCAATCGTAAAAGGAAGATTGAAGTGTCACAAGTTGCTGACTGAAGAGAGAATGTCTGAAAGAATTGCTGAGGCTTGTAATGCTATACCCGTTGAGAATTTGTACAACTTTGCTAGTCATTCTAAACGACAAATCATTAATTGTTATAAGACATCATTCTAAATATATAACTGTCTAATAAACATCCATTAGCATATATATAAATTGCAAATAGAAGTGACAAAATAACTCTTTTTACATGGATAGTTTAAATTATAACTTGGGACAATTGTTTTGGCAAAGTGATTTTATTTTTTTAGTAACGAACATTTGATCTCGCAAAGTGACAGTACAGAATCTGTTTATAAATACTATGGAGCAAGTAATATTTCATTTACGTTTTCCTCAAAAACTTTCTGCTTTCTCTAATGAAAGTATTGTCGGTTGCGCCTTTTGGTGCATCTGGCGTGCACACTGGATGTTTATTTTCAATGGACATCCTTTTATCCCATCCAAGGTTTTTCGGGCTATCATAGGTTGCCTGGAATCCTTCAAGCATTAATTTTATATTTGTTAATTTTCTTTAGTAGTTCTGTCTTTCAATAGTCCACCACTGATTTCAAGTGGCTATTTTATTTATTTAAAAAAATAAAGCTTGGCTAAAAACGCCCCTACAAAAAAAAAAAAAAAATTATGCTTATATTAATATTGTTATACTAGTAGCTACTATAGTTGTTATTATAAGTTATTCTTATCAGATGCGATAGAGGAATGTAAAGTAGAATGTATGCTCTACTGTAAGATTATACTCGAGTTATTATAATGATTATCTCATCAAACACATCAGTTGCTTCATTAAAGTGTTCGGAGATGGCATTGGCACTCAGTAGCACAAGTTGTTTCGCCCAGAAAACACTGCTTGCTTCAAGTAAGAATCCGCTCGGACTAGTGATAAACTTCTCTTCAATAGAAGCGGCAAGGGAATTAGTTGCCACAACTAGAACAATAGGCAGGTATTTGTAGCGTGAGTAAGCGTTGGACGAATACTTGATTATTCTGAACATGAATTCTTGATAACACACTATTATAACACATAACACATAACACACTTACATGCCAAGTCATTAATTACATTTGTTTCTTCATGAAATAAAAAAGTGCCTGCATTATCTGAAAATAGAATAATTTGTAAACGAGAGTGATGAGTTGTTTTATCATTAGATAAAACAATAGACAACAACTTTACAGTTCTGTTTAAGAGAATTGCACAAATAAATAGACACTTAAAAGAAGGAAGAGAAGGAGAGAAAAGACTAAGGGCAGAATGAACATAGTATTGTAGATAAATAAAAATTGTCGTCAAATAGAAATTGTTGTTAAAAATAAATCATGTCAAGACACCTTTTACAGTTATTGTTATTCTTTATCTCTTCTTTCATATTTTAAACAAAATGCGCGGTCAAGTCCATAGTATTCTTAAGCAATGTATGAGAGAAAAAAACAAATAGAAAATGAGAAACATCAAACCTCATCCAAAGGTAAAATAATGGAAGTCTCAATCATCTTTGACTCCATAAACATCATCCATGTATTATAAGTAAAGCCAAGAGAAAAAGGATGAGTCAAGCAGAGAAGATTGAGAACAAAAAAAAAAAAAAAAAGAAAAAGGCGAAATACGATCACAAGCATGAGCAAGAAAAGACATTGTTTGTACAAGCTGCCACCAAAAAGAACACAAGAATGCAAGATCTTCCTCATGCCCAAATCGAAAGTTAACAAAACAAGAAGAACTTCAGCAGCTCATGGGGAATCGAAAGACA